CACCTCACCTGGAAACTGGGCAACGGAGGAGCTGAATGCTCGACGCTTCGTTGCCTGCCGCATGCTGTGGCAGCTGCGGGCGGCCAACCAGGTGGCATTCAAAGCAGCCGGAGCTCCGCAGAACTTTGCTGCGTTCCGTGCTCAGTGCAACCAACATCTGGTGCCAGACGATGTGTTGCAAGCCGTGCTACAGGACGCAATGGAAACCACTATCGTCGTTCTGGGAGTGGACGGCATGCAGGGCCTCGAAGGCTTCGACCTACGTGCTGAGGAGGCAGGTAAGGTGAAACCGTTCTATGAGGTCATGCTAGAAGTGTGCCGGCTTGTCAACCAAAAGGCCTCTCCGCTGGTGGTAGGATGCATTTCTGCCACTCAAACTCTGGATCACGGCCTGGCATGGTCGCCCCAGCGGCGCTACCGCCTAACACTCCCTCGTGTGACCCGGGTGGCGGAAAATGGCGAGGATAAAGTTCCGCTTCATCCCCTCAAGGATTTGCTGGTGCGAGACATGGGAGGCCACGGCCGAGCTTTAGAGGCTCTGGTGCAGGCACTGCAGACAGCGAGCATTGGAGATGGAAGCGCTGCGGCTGTGATTGGGGCAGTCATGTTTCAACTGACACAGAAGTACCCCAGCGCCGGCATCCTTGGCCGGTCGGACTCGAAAACCTTCGACGATGGCTCTATCAAAGCAATTCTTCGCACGGCACTGTCAGGCAAATTGGTTCGCAGCGGTGACAAACTTGGGAACGTCGATGCTGAGAAGGCAGATTTGATTCGTTTGCGGTACAATGATGCCGCCACTCACTACTTCATTGAAGTTCCGTACATATGGCTGCACATGATGCTGAAAAAAGTGGCATCAGTTTCTGAAGATCTGGCCCCATGGGGCCTGATGGACTACGACCAGTTTCTGAAAGATCCACCGCAAGATGGCACAGAATGGGAGGAGTTCAACGCAGCCTTTAGAGTGTTGCGGTCTTGGGCTTTCGAAGAAGAGGAAGCAGTGCCAGTAGGCTCTTTGCACAGCGGTGCAATCATACAGCCAGGTACCTTAGCGGAGAAGATGGTCAT